GTTTTCTTTCCAAAGTCTTCAATAACCTTAAAAGAACACCTATCTAGTTTCTATTTGTAGCTCAATTATCTAAGAGCCTACTTTCCCTCTCTCTTAAACCTCCAACTTCACTCACAGTTATTTAACTTCTTAGGTGTTTCTCTCTTTCTAGTAAGCAAGATAGAGGAAGGTCAAAAGTAGAGAGAAAGGTGAAAAGTATAGTTAACTAGAATCTTTTTGGTGCCAGTAGTGAAATAAGTTGGAGTTTCAGGAGAGAGGATAAAACTATAGATAAAAAACTTGGAAGTTAATGGTAGATTTCAATTGTATACTTCAATAGGCTCAACTCTCTGCTCAGAAGACATATCATCAGAGAGGGCTTCGCTGACCACCCTATCTCAAATAGCACCTCCTCATTCCTATCCCTCTACGTGACTTTATTTTTATGGCCCTGTCACCACCAGCTGGCATGATTTTAATTTTATTATTTTCCCATTACAATGTAAATTTAATATGTGCAAGAGCACGGCTGTATTCCCAATGGTTAGCACAGCCACTGGTACGAAACAGCTCCTTATAAGTGAATGAATGGATCAATGAATGAATATATCTATAATATTCAGGTCATCATACTTGATACATGATCAAAGTATATATAACTTTAATTTAAAATATTAAAAAGTAGCTACTAGGTATACATTGTCTTCCTGACAGAGTGTTCTGAAATATAGAATGTTTCCTTTAAAGATATGTCAATATCCCAAACTGGTATGTTTACTGTTTCATCAGGAAAACATATACACATAGAAACATAAAATTAAGCTGCTAAAATAGTCAGAAACATAAAAAAGGAGAAGTTAGAAAGGTAAAAAAGCTCTCACCATTTTTGTTCTTAAACAAGAAATTAACTCCAACTAAAATACATTAAAATTTCGAATAACAAGCTTAAAAACAATTTTTTTTTTTTTTTAATTTGAGACAGGGTCTCACTCTTATCACCCAGGCTGGAGTGCAGTGGTGTGATATTGACTGACTGCAACCTCTACCTCTCAGGCTCTAGCGATCTTCCTGCCTCAGCCTCTTGGGTAGCTGGGACTACACAGGCTGGTGCCACCACAGCTGACTAATTTGTTCTTGTTATTTTTCATAGAGACAATCTTGAACTTTATATAGATCTGATCTCGAACTCCTAGGCTCAAGTGATCCGCCTGCCTCGGCCTCCCAAAGTGCTGGGATTATAGGTGTGAGCCACTGCATCTGACCCCAGAACAAAATAATATGTATTCTAAATGGTAAGAAAAATAAATTCTTTCCACAAACTCTTAATAATAACTATTTTTATACAGACATAAACCTTGTTTTTAAAACATAATTTAAATCAGAATCAGATCCTTTCTAAAAATTAAGCTTCTTTTACATATGACTGGGAAGAAAAAAATACAATTAGGTTATTAGGATATAACTATTTATTGTAGGTAGATGTTTAAAGGATCCTCAAACTCTGAAGTTCAGGAAAATCTATGATTCATACTAAGACATATTTCAGAAAAAAATGAAAAACTCTTTTTTTTTGAGACAGAGTCTCAAACTGTCGCCAGGCGCCAGGCTGGAGTGCAGTGGTGCAATCTTGGCTCACTGCAACCTCCGCCTCCCGGATTCGAGCAATTCTCCTGCCTCAGCCTCCTGAGTAGCTGGGACTACAAGTGCCTGCCACCACGCCCAGCTAATTTTTGTAATTTTAGTAGAGACGGGGTTTCACCATGTTGGCCAGGATGGTCTCAACCTCTTGACCTTGTGATCCGCCCACCTCGGCCTCCCAAAGTGCTGGGATTACAGGCATGAGCCACCGAGCCAGGCCAAACTCTTTTTTTTTTTTTTTTTTTTTTTTATGAGATGGAGTTTCACTCTTGTTGCCCAGGGTGGAGTGCAATGGCACCATCTCAGCTGATTGCAACCACTGCCTCCAGGATTCAAGTGATTCTCCTGCCTCAGCCTCCCAAGTAGCTGGGATTACAGGCATGCGCCACCACGCCCAGTCAATTTTTGTATTTTTAGTAGAGACAGGGTTTCTCCATGTTGGACATGCTGGTCTCGAACTCCAGACCTCAGGTAATCCACCCACCTCGGCCTCCCAAAGTGCTGGAATTACAGGCGTGAGCTACCATGCCCGGCCGAAAAACTTCTTGGATATAAGAGTAAGACTCTGTCACTAACAAATGCCTAAACAAATTAAAATTGAATTTATAAAACTTGAAAAATAAAAAATAACTTACCTATAGGGTATCCCAATGCAAAGTCATTACTTTGTGTAGCAAAAATAGGGAATAGTCCAGCTTTGCTAAATCTACTGTCAGGACTGGCAACCAATAAGGTTAATACACATACAATGAAAAATACAGAGGCTTTGGCAATTAAGATACTATATAGGAAGGACCAATCCACATTGGAAAAATTAAGTACAACCATGTTTTTGAATAATAAAGCTGGAAGTGCAAATCTGGAGACAAAATTTCCCAGTCCTTTGGCCTGTGTGGATGTTATGACATTGGCTCTTCCTGCTATGTAGCCACAAAGGACAATGCCAAAGCATTCTAGTAAGGCTGGAAAAAGCCTTGTAATTGACATTGAAGGTGGGTCATTAGTGGAATTAAGTCCATGGGTTACTGCTGTAGGCAAAGTCTTGGTCATATTGACTGCAATGGTTAAGTTCTCTGCAGGTAAATTAGAAAAAGAATTCATTTTCTCTCACCCTCCAACTCCAACCAGATCTCTGGAAAGAAAGGAAGAAAGATTCAGTATGGCCATCAATAAGAATTCTAGTTGAAAAAATACACTGGCCATTTAGTTATTAAATGGTCAAATAAATATATATACTTTCTTTAACTGCCACCAAGGAAAATACAATGGCAAAAAAAGTGGGGGGTTGCTAACAATAATCGCTTCACTCTCAAAGGCAGGTCAGCTCAAAATACTTATGTTGCTGTTCTATATTCAATATTAGACATAAGTAAAATAAGATCCACAAATATTAGAGCTTCAGTGATGTCCTGTGGTTCTCGCCAGTGATTCTCTCCAACAATTGAGCTCCACCTAGTGGATAAGGGCATTGGGCTCACAGTCTCTGCTGAATGTCCCCCTGCATCTAAATTCTCTGGAAATTTCAGAAGTTCTCAAGGCTACATTGAGGAGTCACCCACGGACCAGAGAGTCCTTTCCAGCCTGTGGTCATACTTGAGTATAGGATGGGAAGAAGAGTATAGTATAGCATCACTAATCAACTTTAAATCAATTAACTTTTTTTTTTTTTTTTAAAGACAGGGTCTTACTTTGTCGCCCAGACTAGAGTGCAGTGGCACAATCTCGGCTCAGTGCAACCTCTGCCTCCTGGGTTGAAGAAATCTGTGTGCCACCACCCCTGGCTAATTTTTCTACTTTTGTAGAGATGGGGTTTCACCATGTTGCCCAGGCTGGTCTTGAACCCTGACCTCAGGTGATCTGCCTGCCTCAGCCTCCCACAGTGCTGGGATTACAGGCATGAGCCACTGTGCCCAACCTGAACCAATTAACTTTAGCTTTTCTGTACATCACCTTCTTCACCTGTAAAATGGCAATAATAAGTAATACATACCCACATGAGAACTTGAGATTATTCAACTGAAGTCTTTAATCACATCTGGAATAGTCATTACAATCAGAGTTAAATATAACTTTTGGTAGAATATGAGAGAGAAAAAATGATGACATCCCATCAATATACCTTTAGTTCCTTCTATACCAGTCACACACTGGCCCCATAGTACCTTTGTGCCACAGGGACTTTGCACATACAGTTCGCTTAAGTGTTGTGGAAGCAGGAACTATGCATGTTTTTGCTCACTGGTGTGTTTCTAACATCTAGGACAGTACCTGGCACACAAGAAACAGAAAAAAAATATTTTTAATGAATAACTATAATAATTTACACTTAAATAAACCTTTTACCCTTTCATGGATCAATGTTCTCTTTCAGGCACTATTTAGTTCATGGACAGAATTTTTTTTTCTGAATGATAAAGTATTCTAAGTTTTTCACTATAGCAACAGAACCAATAACATAAAATGTATCTAAATGTGTTCATAAAATGTTACAAAATACAAAATGTTTTGTAAAATGTTCTAAAGAGGTTCAGAAAATGCTAAAGCATGGAACAAATTATTTAAGCAAATAGTGCAATAATTATCACACTCCCTCTTGCTGCCAGGAACACAGTGAACAGGAGGTCTGAATAACTCTAAAACTAATCAGCTTTTTTAGTATCTTGAAATTAATATGATGACAACTGTCAATATCAAAGTGATTATTCTGGGTTTACCATCTAAAATAGACATATATAAGGTAGAAAGTAAAAAGCTCATGCTTCTGGAAATTTACAATGCTCAGGTTAAGTTCTCAAACATCTACATCACATTAAAAAGACTTAGATGGCAGCCCAGAGATCACCAACAACTGATACCTGGCGGGGGTATAAGGGAATTTTCTCTGTGCTACCCTTGTATAAACCGAACCATTTAAAAACCTTACATTTAATCTCGATTAGAACACGTATTTTTCTACTAGGATTAGATAGGAGTGGTCAATATACTATATGAAACCTGCAACACTCACATACTTGAAGTTTACCAGAAAAGTGTCAAATTATATCCTGGGAAAGCTACCGGTTGGTACAAACACCAATACTTGAAGTAAAGAGCTGGTATACAATTAAAGAAAGGCGTTAAACATTGGGAGCCATTAAGAAAGTGTGTACCTGGAAACGCAGTGCTAAAGAAGAAGGTAATAAGTTAGTCCAGTCTTTTGTTCACTTTTAAAAGTGCCTGGAGTATGAATAACTCATTCTGCTTACATGTCCTTACTTGTACCACACGAGCATGTCAATGCATTCCAATATTTTTTTTAACCAACAATTTTAACTAAACTAGTAGAAGTTCAGTGGAGAGTCAAACAGATTCTGGGCTGTATGGCTTATCGCCTCCTAAGTTACTTAGCCTTTCTGAAACTTTGTTTCCTCAACTGTAAAATGAGAGTAAAAACTTCCTTAGACGGGCCGGGCATTGCAGCTCACACCTGTAATCCCAGCATTATGGGAGGCCCAGGAAGGTGGATTGTGTAAGCCCAGGAGTTTGAGACCAGCCTGGCTATCATGGCGAAACCCCAGTCTCTACAAAAAATTAGCTGAGCATAGTCTTGTGTGCCTGTTGTCCCAGCTACCCGGAGGCTGAGGTGGGAGGATCACTTGAGCCTAGGAGGACTCTGCAGTGAGCCATGATCACGCCACTGCACTCCAGCCTGAGTAAGACCTGTCTCAAAGACCTTCTTAGAGGGATATTGTGTGGATAGAATATTTTATATTTTTGACGTAGGCCTTCAAGAAGTGGCAGCAACTGCATTAGGAAATGTTGTCTTCCTACTACTAATAATAATAAAAAAGCAAACATGTTAGTTCCTCAAACATACCAGGTAAAAGATCCACCAACTAAAAAAGAGAGATGGGCTGCATCATAAATTCATCCTTTTGCATTATACCAAACAATTAAGCCAAGCTGAATTTAATTTGGTTTGATTGTAAATGGTTAACAGTGAAGGCAATGCTCTTCATTTTTCTCAGAGTGATGGTCAAATAGTTGTAGCAATGTCCAGGTTTAACTTTCAATTCATTGAAAATGTAAAAGATGAAACTGTTTAAGTCGTTTTGATTATGTAATCTGCCCCTTCCATGAAGTTTCTTTTAATGTTTTTCAATATTATAAAAGAAATACCTGCTGAGGGAAAGTCAAAATAATCAAAACGACTTAAACAGTTTCATCTCATCCTAATCTTTTTTAAACGGGAAGATAATATGCTTTCTAAAGCATATTTTAAAATGAACAGGAACCAGAGCAAAGGAAGTTAAAAAAAAATTACATCTACCCTTTTCATCTATAAAAACAAGGCTTGTTACAGAAAAAACACGTTCACAATAAAAGACCACACGCTGAGGCACCCACTAGAGAAATGCTGCGGTACTTACAAACCGCTTCTGGCCACGACATATTTGGCTTAGATCACATAAATGAACCACTGATATCGTAAATACCTGCTATTAAGTGAAAATGGGGGGTGCGGGGAAGGAGAGGGTTGACTAACTTCATAGAGAAAGCTTGAAACTCTCAGGCTATTTCTCAAACAGCCAATATCCTTTATCCCGTGGGATAAGTGTAATACAGTGTGGTACTATTAAAGCACTCTTCAGCATCAACAGTCACACCATTCACCCACTCCCACCTACTTGCAGGGGACCAAATGTCCTCCCTAGAGACCCAGTGTAGGGACGGCTGAGCACTGCCTCCTTGCCTTGTCTGCAGAGACAGCCTGTGGCCCTCCAAGAAGAGGGGCGCAGAGAGTTCCTAACCAAACAGGCTGCTCGGAGAACAGCCGCCAGCCAACGCCTGGGAAGGCAGCGGTGGAAGTGAAAAGGCAGCCAGGGGTCTGTGCTTCGGGTACGAAAAAGGTGGTCGGTCGCTCGTCTTCCCAGAGCATGGGAACCACGTCATGGTAACTAGCATAGTCCAAAAATGGGTAAGGGAGAAAATTTGGCGCAATGCTCTAGGTGCCTGGGAAGAAGCCTTCAGGAGGGCCAGATACCAAGGGTACCCTTGGGATAAAGGGAAGAGTCTAAGAATGACAGGGTGGATGCCCAGGCAGTGAGGAGCTTCCCAAACTAGGGATGGCAGTTCTATCTCCGGAGGGGACGAGGCACCCCTTCCCCCGCGCAAGCCTTCCCGGGTGATCTCACGCATTCCAAAGGCAGGCGCTGCGGAGCACAGATAGCAGGTCCAGACAACGGGCCGCGAGGCCGGGGCGCAGAGGGTCGGCGGCTGCCCACATGCCCAGGCCCGAGGGGCAGGGGTAGGGGTACCCCGTGCCCGCAAGACAGAGACAGGACCCGGCAGATCCGCGCTCCAGGAGCCCATCTCACCTGCTTCGTCTGCAACCTTGGGGTCAGGAGGAGAAGGTAGCTGGTGCTCGCAGGGGGCCAAGCAGGGAGGAGACCACTTGTCATCTCCCGCCCCCAGCCCTCTTCGCCGAGCGCAGCCGGGTGCCGGGTGCCGGCTGCCAGGTGCAGCAGCTAAGGCACGTACTGATAAAGCGAGGTGGGGTTAGCCGCTGCGGCCCTGTCAGCGCAGCACCTCGCCGGCCGCGAGGCCCCGCCCCCGCCCGCCCTCAGGGCCCGCCCCCAGCCCCGAACCTCACCCGACGGGCCCCGCCCCTCCCCAAGTCCCGCCCACAGCCCCGAGCCTTGAGGCCACAGTCCCCGTCCCGCCCTGAAGTCCCACCCACAGCCTAGGGCCTTGGAACCACAAGTTCCCCAACTCCGTCTTCAGTCCCCTCCCCCACCTCCCGCCCCGCCGGCTGGGAGCCGCCCAGCTGCGCTACTCCGGGGCGGGACTTCCGGCCTCCCGGCTCCCACAAAATGGCAGTCGCCTTGGGGGTGTCCAGTGTCTTTTTTCCTCTCCCTAAGTTCAGACGCAGAGCGGGCTTGTCTTTCCGCTTAACCCCAACCCCTTGTCATCTGCCAGTTTCGTTCCTGGTTAGCCCGGAACTTTTTAGAGCATAGAGTTTCAATGCAAATCCTGCCTTCCACCCTCACCGAGGAAGAGTGACCGTGACCTTCCTAAATCAAGAGATTAAATTGTAAACCCTTAGCCCTGGGCTTGCTTTAGAATCAGGGCCCTGTGCATGACTGCTTCTATTCTATTGCGGAGCGGGGTTGGGGAATTAGATGCATATCCTTTCAGTATGCTGAAGGGAAACTGGTTGTATTGATGGAAAACTTCCAAAGCTTCTTGAAATAAAGGTATTGAAACTGTCCTCACAGGATTTATAAGAATTCTGGACAAATATAATTAAGCATTAATTAGGCTACACTTTGACGCACTTCCTTGTACCCGAAAGTCAGGTAGCACTAGATAGCACATTTGCATCCCCATTGTTCCTATAGTTAGGACTTATGACGTTAGAGTCATAAGGCCTTTAAGAATTGCTTAAGATGTTTTTCAGACCCCAAATCCCAGCGAAACAGCTGATGCCAACCAGCTTGAAGACCCCTCCCCGTGCCCCCACCCCCGCCCCGCAGAAGAAGGTAATCAGCATGAGTCTTAATCTCCGTGTCCCAGGACTTCGCCCGGCACTCTTCGACGAATTAGCTAATGATTTCCACACTTCAGACCACTCCAAAACCCTTAAGAACCTGAGCCTCAAAGTCCTCCTGGAGACAGATTTGAGGTTTCCGCCCGTCTGTGTTTGATTAAACCTCTTTCTCTTCTGCAACCTGGTGTCCCAGTGTATTAACTTGGCATGGGCATCAGACAGCAAACCTATATAGTTACAGTATGCTAAATACAGTGCTCCACTTTGAAACCTGAATAAATCGTGCAACCAAGTTAGACTTTTGAAATAAAAATTATTTCAAATTTAAAAATATTTATATCTGATCCCACTTAAGATATCCACAGCATTTGTCCTTTAAAACCTTTTATCTTGCTTTCTATCTTGAACATTTCTCTGTATGACAATTTCAGTGTCTTCCTATCATCTCGGCCATCTTAGTGGAAAGATACAAAATTGTGTGGCTTACTAAGAAAAATTACAGTAAGCTAAGGGTAGGTTAAAGGATTTGAAACTTAGCAGGAGAAAATGAGCAGAAATTGAAACTATGAAAAGGCATGCATTCCTGCTCTGGTTCTCTTTGCTTCTCTGTTCTCTATCTTCTTTGCTCATTTTAACTGCCTTCTTTGTTTCCCTTAAACCTGACTACTAAAAAAAAAAAAAAAAAAAAAAAATCTGAATATCTCAATTATCTCAAGGCTAAAAGGATTTTTGTTTAGAAACTATGAAGATTAATTCAATTAAATAAATACTTATTGAGCATTGATTATTAGGGGAATACTGGAAGAGAGGCCTGGAAAGGTAAGTTACGATAAACCTGTAGGAGGTTCCTTGGGTTAGTCTTAGAGTTTGAACCTTATCCCTTGGCCACAGTAAAACATTTAACTTTGGCCGGGGGCGGTGGCTCATGCCTATAATCCCAGCACTTTGGGAGGCCGAGGCAGGTGGATTACGAGGTCAAGAGATCGAGACCATCTTGGTCAACATGGTGAAACCCCGTCTCTACTAAAAATACAACAACAACAACAACAAAATTGGCTGGGCATGGTGGCACATGCCTGTAGTCCCAGCTGCTAGGGACGCTGAGGCAGGAGAATTGCTTGAACCCAGGAGGCAGAGGTTGCGGTGAGCCGAGATTGAGCCATTGCACTCCAGCCTGGGCAACAAGAGCAAAACTCCATCTCAAAAAAAACCAAAAAACAAAAAACAACAACAACAAAAATTAACTTTTCTTTCCCCACAGGAACATGTCCTAATGATCACACTATTTGTGGATGTGTAATCTGGAAACTGTACCACGATTAGTTGAAAGAGAGACTGAAGACAAGAAAAACAGTGTAGTGACTTGGGGAAGAACCAAGACATAAGGAAATGAAGACCTACTCTTGGGTGATGACAGTAAAAAGAATGTAATAGGTCTGAGAGACATTACAAAAAGAGAACTGATGGGACTCAATTGCTGATAGGGCTAAAGAGGAGGAAGGACAGGGTGAGGTGGCTCATGCCTGTAATCCCAGCACTTTGGGAGGTGAGGCAGGAAGATCAATTGAGCCCAGGAGTTCAAGACCACCCTGAGCAACATGACAAAATGTGGGTAACACCCCCTATGGGCACCAAGGAAGGAGAACTGTCCAGACCCCAGGCACAACTAGTGCCTGAAGAATATCTTAGTTTATAGTGTTATTGCTCAGCTGTTTCCTTTATATAATCCTTCATCAATAATCATATATTAGTTCATAGAATTAGTGCTTGAAGTGTAACTTACTGCTTACATATATCTAGCATACTTAGTTCTATATAATCTTTCTATATAATCATATAGGTATTGTAGTCAGAGCTGTACTGACACATTTAGTGCTGATTTATAGAATCCTTCCATATAACCATACAGTAGTTTGTAGTAGGAGGAATGCCTAGAGCAGTCACAGAACAGAAGCAGT